AGAGAGAAGGAGAGAAGGAGAGAAAGAGAGAAAGAAAGAAAGAGAGAAAGAAAGAAATTGTGAGACAGGATGCATGTGGTGCTACATACCTGATATACTCAGTGATCTGGAGGCTGAGGCTGGGGGATCACAACTGTGAAGCTGACCCCAGCAACGGAGTGAAACCCTGTCTAAATTTTTTTTAAAAATTAGGTAGTAGTAATTTTAAAAAGTTAAGACAAAATTTTAAAATTCAATTTTTTTAAATAAAAATTTTAAAAGGGCTGAGGGTATAGTTCAGTAATAGGACACCCTGGTTCCAATCCCCCGTTTCACAAAAGGAAAACAAGAACAGAAAAAAGTCATTTTTTTTCCCCAAAGTTACAGGGGAAAAATAGTTTTAAATTTATAAATTGTATTGAAAACAAAAAATCTATTCCTCAAATGACTCCATTAAAGAGAACAAGGAGAAGTGACAGATGAAAGAAACCAATTGCCTAACTTTTAACCAAACTCAGAAGACAGAAGAACAGAGACTGCGAGAGAAACGCAGGCAAGAGCCGTGAACAGCCCCTTCAAATAGCAGGTATCTAAACGTCCCATCCTCACAAAGCAATCAACGTCTTTAGAAAGGAGAGACTGTCCAATAAAGTCACATTGTACACAAATTGAGATAGTGTTGAAGAACATGTGGGGATTATCATGAAGGCCCCCAGAAACAGATGTGGACCCTACAGCACCTGTTCATATGGGGACACAGCATGCTCCTCCAGAGCCGAGACCCAGGGCCTGGTGACAGAGGATGTCCATTTTGGGAATAGATAAATAAGAATATGGAAAATAACCATTTCTGACAATCAGACACATTTTCTTTGCCATATTACATACAGTTTGACAAATACTATGAAACACTGTCAGTTTTATATCGATGTTATATATATCACATTTCACATATAAGTGTACTTAAATAGTACATCTGCAGAATTTGAAGAAATGCAAATACAGATCAGCACATAACAGACTGAATGATAAAATTCCTCCTTATAAAGATTGCCGCGTCCCTCAGGTTCATCTAGGATAACACCCCATCAAAATTTCACCATGATTTCCTTTTCACTGAAGAAGGGACCAAAGCAAACAGTTTGAAAATTCTCTTAGAAGGTTAAATCGATATGAAATTAGCCAGGAATTCTGAATTCTAAGAGCAAAAGCAGGAGCTATCATTACCATGCATTAATGCATGTTATAAAATTATCATATTGCAGTAATTTGAGGACCAAAAAAAAAAAATCACAATGTAGAAATTTCATAGATGACTCCACATGTATGTAAATGTCATTTTATTATCAAGTGCAATGAAAAGGCCTAGATAAATGCAGCCATCTCCAGCAGAGGATTTGATGTGAATGAACAAGACAACCCAACGTGAAGGGAGGTGTGGGAACTGGAGGCGCAGAGCACTGGTAGGGCTTGGGTGCAGGACATGCATGGTACTGGATTACACTCCAGCATTCCAAAGAAGCACATATTGAGGAGGAGGATGTTTCAAAATTATACCAGAATAGGAGGCTCCTGGATTCTCTCCACACATGGATACACCCAATAAACACCTGCTTCTGTTTTGAATCCCTTTTAAATAAAGTTATACATGGACTGAGAGACATATGCATTGGACCACTCAGAAAATCTCTACCATCCAAAGGGCAGGCAAAGGTGGGGAAAACTTGGGCATTAGTACTGCCTTGAGCAATGTGCCACATAATTGGGACAGAATACCCCCATCCAGTGTCACCCAGAGTAGAGGCAGACTGCTTGGGGTCACAAATGGAGCACATTGGACACTAAATGACTTGTAGCTGGAAACACAATTTGTCTGGTGCTCATAGAAGAGCGAGCTGGATATACACAAGTATCAGGATGAGAGAAAATGGGTGGTTTTCTATGGCTGTGGAGGGTCATGAGCTTTATCCTTGGGACCAGGGCAGAAGGGGAGTGAGATCAAGGGTCCCAGTTTATCCCTAGAAGGGATTTGCCAGCATGATCTGCAAACTGTGATTGCTAACAGCTGAGCTCCTCTCTAGCTAGTCCCTGAGGGTAGACAGGACAAATGCAGTCCACCCAGCAGCCCTGCCTGAGCCCTCTCCCCCCTACCTCAGTAATAACTCCAGGCCTGAGCAGTTCTTTCTGGAAGGAGTACGTACAGGCACTCAGGGTCCCAACATTTTTCCCCATTCCATGGACTCCATCCTAACCCACCAAGCTTTGGGAGCAATGGCAACTGAGCATGTGCAAATCTCCCTGGATCACAAAGGAGGGGCTTCACATTGGTGTGTAAGTATTTCCCTGGGCTACAATCCCCAGAAGGAGTGAAGCAAAAGGGGTCAAAACCACAGCTCCCTGTTTCTTTCTAGAATAGGCTCACACCACCTTCCTGCAGTGAGCACAGGCAGCCTGGGTTCTAACCAACTGCATCAGGAATTCAGCCCCCAGCCAAGTAGGAGACCTTCTGCAGCCTGAGCCCAGCTGTGGGGAAGGCTCCTATCAAACAGGTGAAGGAACCAGTCCTCCAATGACATGGATATGGAGAAAGACCCGCTCACATGGGGCTAGAATATAAGCTTAGTGCATCCATTTTTAAAAATAGCATGGAGTTCTTTAAAAGCTAACAGAGTAACGACCACTCTGGATGCATTTCCAGAGGAACTTGAACCAGTGTGTTCATAAATGGCCGAATGCTCATCGCTGTTCCACGATCCACAGGAGCCAGGACGAGGGAACATCTGAAGTGGCTTCTGGATAAGGAGACTCCTCCCAGCTGCAGGGCAATCACCTGCTCCCCTGAGAAACTACTTCCCCTAAATGCACCTGCTCATAGGTCCACAGGTGGCTGAGATTTACCAGACGCTCAGGAGACCTCAGATGTGCCAGGAGTGGGATGCTCATGTCAGGCAGAGCCAAAACAGGACCAGGAAAATATCACAGACCCCTAGGACATGCAGTCCACAAGGTGAACACTCAGCCCAAAGACATTCTGACAAGGTGTCTGGCCTGGGAGAGAAAGGGAGAATACACATGCACACACATGCACATGCAAACGCACATGCGCGCACACACACACACACACACACACACACAATTTTTCCTGGAAATGGGGACAGGGGACTTGAATTTGAGGAATTCATTGATACATGTGTACAGCTTTCGTCTGGGAGATGGGGTTCTGGATCTGACACTTTGCTTTCTTACATTTAGAACATTCAGGGGGACCCAGGCAGGAGGGCCTCATCTGTAATCCCAGCCACTCGGGAGGCTGGGGCCCAAGTTCAAGGCCAGACTCAGCATCTCAGCTCTGTCTTGAGATAAATGATAAAAAGTACGAAGAATGTAGCTCAGTGGGAAAGGATCTCTGCATTCAATCCTCTATGCCCCCCATGCGCCCCCAAAATGAAGTAAAGCTCAGGAGAAAGAAAAACCTGAGACCCCTGCAGATCCCAGCCCCCTCGGGTAGGAAAAGGGCCCACGGACTGGTGATACTCACGGTCAAGACACTCTGAAATCCACCACCAAAGAAATTCAGGGAGGAGACTTGAGCTGCCAATTTGTCCAGGAGATACCCATGTGTTCAATAATAATGAGAATAAAAAGAATCCAACATCTTTAGAAACCTGAGAAATGTAAACTAAAACCCTATCAGAGAGAAAATGAAATACATCAATAAAGATAGGAAACAAAAGAATTCTAATAAACTCAAGGAGTTTAAGTGCTTCTTAACTATTTGTGGAAACTGTTTTGCCATTACAGACACATGATAGTCCCCCACCGCAGAGACTTGCTGCAATCAGTTCATATGACCAGGATAATACATTAATAGTCATGGTACATTCAGCTTAAAAATAGTATAAAATACCATGGGTAAGCTTTACAGGGGTGCCATATGCAGGTGGTATTATGTATAACTATGATGCACAAATTAACAATCCAGCATGCTTTACCCTTAATGGAAGCACCCAGTCCTAAAATTCATCCACAAAGTTAAATATATGTAAACTTAACCAAGAAACTTTTGAATTATAATAGCAAAAAATTATAAGAGAAAAAAAAAGAAGTTATTACCTAACACGTGCATTGGGAAGCTGTACTGTTACAATTGTCATCGAGGAATCACGACATCAACAAAGTCCACCCAGGAACCCACGTGGATGTAAAAATCATACACTTAATTGCAATGGAAAAGTCATTATCAATCCAACCCTAACCAGGCCAATCTCAGCAACTTAGCTAGACCCGCGCTCAGAATAAAAACTAAAAACTACCAGGGACATGGCTGAGTGGTAAAGCACCTTCTGTTAACTACTAAACAAAACAAAACCCCACAAAACAAAACAAAAACAATAAACTCCACAAAACTAGCTCAGGTATAAGCGAGATCCCTGTACACCTCAGCTCCCCTCCTGCAGGAAAACTGGGTTTGGAGATTGGATTTTTTTTTTGGGGGGGGGGTACCGGGCATTGAACTCAGGGGCACTGGACCCCTGAGCCCCATCCCCAGCCCTATTTTGCATTTCATTTAGAGGCAGGGTCTCCCTGAGTCTCTAAGTGGCTGGCCAACTTGCCGAGGCCATCAGCGCCCCCGCCCCAGCCTCTGGGCGGACAGGTGTGCGCCATCGCGCGGCTTGGAGATTGGCTATTTCCAGTGGTTCCACCTGTCAATCACCTCAGCCCGGAAGACGCCGGGCACCGCGCTCACCTGCCAAGTAGGACCTGAGCAGGGGCTGAGGCTGCCCCAGGGGAGGGGGAGGCTGCAGGAGTCTCCGCTACTGTCACGCTCCCCACCCGGCTGGCCAGGGGGACTGAGGGGCGCTGTCCCCGAGGGGCTCAGTCCTGCAGACGCAGAGAGCGCCCGGAGTCCGGGTCGGCCAGCTCGGGTGGTTCCCGCCACAGCAGGTCCCGCCGGATGGCCTCCCTGCCCCGTCTCCCTCCGAGCCTCCCAGTCCAGGCTCCAGGGGCCACCGCACACTCACCGTCTCCTGGTGCCCAGCAGCCAAGTCTGCCCTGGGGAGCTTCGGCCCCTGCATGGCAGAGCCACCCGGGATCCCGGGCATGGAGTGAAGCCTGGAGTCCAACTGCAGGAATCTGAGTGGAACCGCGGACCGCGGAGAAATAAATTCCAACTTGTTTGCGGAAGTCCGCCTCCTGCTCTCTGGCTGCACTCAGGATTGGTCAGCGCTCAGCACGGGGGCTTCTGATTGGACAGCGCGTCCGTCAGTCTCCACTCTCCCCTGCCTGAGCCCAGCGAACCTTCTTTCTGAGTGACAGGGGGGTGATATCCGCTCCGGGCGAGGAGGAAACAAGAATGGCCGGGTTGGGCTGCAGGTTTCTTCTTTTCCTTTTGAGGTCTGGGCATTGGGTTAGGGTCAGGGTGACCAGAATTCTGAATTGTCTTGGGTTTTGATGTTAGGAAATTGAAGTCATTTCTTGAAAGTTTCACCACCTGGGCCTCCTCCTATAATAAGACCTCCCAGAGCGTCTTCAGGTGCTGACTTGTCCTCTGTTCATCTGTGCAAAATTCTCAAAGCAGAACTGGCCTCTCTTCCCTTGGGAACTGCCCAGTACGTCAGGGTTCCCGCTGGTGGAGGCTCATGGGCGGGGGGCGGGGGGGGGGGGCTGGGAGGCGCCCTGGAGGAGGCTCCCATCCCATTGGCAGCTTGAGAGCTGATGTTCCTCCAGCTGAGTTGAATCTGTGTCGGGAGCCCACATTGAGCCTGAGCAGAATAAGGAGATCATCACAGAAGAGACCCCCAGAGAGCAGACCTGGGTAAACCCCAGCTGCACCCGGGCTCCCTCGCTCTCTGGACACTGGGGGTTGAAATTCAGAGGACTCGACCTCTGAGCCCCTTCCCCAGCCCTAGCTTGAAGTTTAGAGACACGGTCTCACTGAGTTGCTTAGCACCTTGCTTTTGCTGAAGCTGCCTTTGAATTCGCCATCCTCCTGCCTCAGCCTCCCCAGCCACTGGAATGACAGGCGTGTGCCACTTCTTTCCTTCCTTCCTTTTCTTTCTTTCTTTCTTTCTGAGAGATATATCTACAGTGGCCACAGGATAACAGCCTTGCACAGATCAAGGCCACCCTGGGTGCTCTCCCTAGTTCCTGACAGTCCCCTGTATCCCAGGCAATGGGATCCTGCTTCCTCCAAAAACCAGAGATCCCCTGCCCAGGTGTGCATCCTTAGTATCAGCTGAATACTCTGCACTTCACAAGGAAAAAGAAATAGAAAAAAGGACAAGCCCTACCTGCTTGTCTTGATGCAAACAAAGACGATGTGTCTCCAAAGACAGCTCTGCATCTTGTCCCCCCAATTCAGGGATGCAAAAAGTCACATAATACAGAGAAGACTTCTTGTTAAGAGGGGCTCAAGGGTCTGTCTCTTTAAGGAAAAACAATTTGGGTTTGACTGGGAGTCCAGGAAAGCCAATTCCAGGTTTCCCTAATTTGGTAAATAACTCCATAGACTCCAATGCACCCTGCTCCTCTCTGCCTTGGTTAACCGTGGAGGCCTCGAGATTACCTGCCCCTGGGACCTCTGCACCTGCAGATGAATGCGGGTGGGGGGTCCTTTCTTCTCCATGCAGCGCCCTGAACCTCCACCTTCCCTTCAGGCTCCAATACCTTTGGCAGCACCCAATGGGGGAGCGGTTTAGAACATTCTGGAATGTACCTAAAGACATTTCCTCATCCAGCTATGATGCTATCAATTTGGTCCCATGGTCTTTTCAGTACTTTTTATTTTTTTCTGTTTTATTGGTTCGTCTTAGTTATACATGCCCATAGAGTCCATTGTGGTAAACTTATCCAAACATAAAATATACCTTATTCTCCTTAGGACCCCATTCGTGTGGGTGGGCAAGATGGGCCCATTCACTTAGGTATTTTCATATATTTAAATAGGAACATTATGGTGGATTCATGCTACTGTCTTTCCTGTTCTTATCTCCCCTCCCTTCCTGTTGTTCCCCCTTTTCTAATCTACTGAACTTCTCTTTGTGAGGGCCCCCTTCCTTGTGATGTAGATAACACATGTCAGGGAAAACATGTGACCTTTGATTTGGGGGGGATTGCTGTATTTTACTTTAGCATGATAATCTCCAGATCCATTCATTTACTGGCCAATGTTATGAGGTCATCCTTTTTTAAAGCTGAGGAATATTCCACCATGTATACATACCACAATTTCTTTATCTATTCATCTATTGGTGGGTATTTAGGCTGCTTCTGTAGCTTAGCTATTGTCAGTTGTGCTATCATGAACATGGATGTGACTGTGTCCCTGTAGTATGATGATTTAAAATCCTCTGATTTATGCTGAGGAGTGGGATAACTGAGTCAAATGGTACTTCCAGTCCTAGTTTCTACAGGAATCTCCATCCTGCTTTCCAGAGGGGTTGCAGCAATGTGCAGTGCCTCCAACATGGTGTGAGCATTTCCTGTCCCCCACATCCTCACCAATTTATTGTTACTGTATTCTTGATAATTGCTATTGTGACTGGAGTGAAAGAGAAGCTCAGGGCAGTTTTAATTTGCATTTCCCTAATTGCTAGAATACATTGCCTTGTCAGTATTTATTTTTTTAAATATTTTTTCTATTGGAATCGGACCCAATACCTTTATGCTCTATTCATTTAGTTTTCTGTGGTGCTGAGTATAGAACCCAGTGCCTGCATGTGCTAGGCAAGCACTCTGCAGCTGAGCCCCAGCCACAGCCCTCATTTTCAGTACTTTTGACTTTTGCTTCTCAGTAACAGCAGCCCAGTTATGTGGGGAACCAGTATTGCTGCATTTGTGAAATGGGAACATTTCTCTTGAAGGAAGACTGAGAAGGTCAAGTCACATGCCCAGGATTCCAGGGATGAGCAGTACACAGTTGTCTTGCCCAGGATGAGGAGAAGATTATGTGGCTGAGAAGAGGGAAAGAGCCAGGGACCCCCTGGGGCCAGAACCTCTTCTTCCCCCATGAGGGAAATGATTAATTATTATTGCTGTTAGTTTTCTTCACCAAAATGAGAGATTTTCCTAAGGTACCAGTGCCACTAAATATAGGTCCCTGGATGGAGCTCAGATTTGTCTTGAGAGGCAAGGAAAAGGGAATAACCAACCCAGTGGTTCCAATAACCAACAAGCTAGACCTTGGGCTCCTTGGGGACAAAACACTGGGTTTTACCCAATAATTAACAATCCAACAGCACCAGACACCCAATTAATGGGGGATGGAGAATTGGATCAGTGGGTGTGGGGGTCTGTGGGTGGCCAGCTGCAGGAGCTTGCCTCTGGGGTGCATTCCTTGCATCTGGGAGGTTTCTCAACACCAATGAGATAAACAAAGTGGTGAGAACACTCGCAAAACCCTCTGCAATATTCTAGCCAGGAAAATTCATAAGCACTTTAAAAGCATCTTAATGTTTATCCTCAGTCAAATGTGCCTCAATCTGAATGAAACTATTTGAAAAGAGTTGTCAACATGAAAAGTTTCTGAAATCTGCTGGTTTGTGGATCACTGCAAATCCATATGAGTCCATGGCTAAATCAAAGTAAAAATAGAAATCTAATAATGAGCATTTTCTTAATTTTCTGTCCTGAAAACACTGCCCTATGTGCTTTGATAACTAAATGGTCAAATAATCATTCCTCTAGCAACACTTGAGGTCCATAAAGAACTGTGGAACACGTCTGGCTGGGACAGAAATGCTGGGATACCAAGAAGAAAATTACTCTGAACTTCAAAGGAAAAGATTCATAAATCACCAAAATGCAGAAATGCCCACAAAATATTTGAAATTAAAAACAAGGGACTGGGGCTTTGACTCAGTGACACAGCACCTGCCTAGCACCTGTGAGGCACTGGGTTCAATCCTCAGTACCACATTAAATAGAAATATATAAAATAAAGGTATACTGTCCAACTAAAAACTATTTTTAAAAATAAAGATCAGATTTAAAATAAAAAAGCAACTCCCTGATATGCAGCATTTCTCCTAGACCAGCTTCCTGGACCCCCAAATACTAGCATGATATGAGCAAGCTTAGAAAAATGGGTGAGAAATTACAGAAGTCTGCTCTGGCCCCATCTCTAGTCCAGCCCCACTTAAATGTCCCTCTCCAAATAGCAACACCTCAGACCATGTATTTGCTGTCTCTCCCTTTAGAGCTTTCTCACATTTTCCTTTCTTTTTGTTGAACCTATGAACTTGTGCATGCAGGGCAAGCACACTACCAACCTCACTGAAACCCCGGCCCCTCACCTTCTTTCCTGAATGTGCATCTGTTTTCTAAATAGGTCTGTTCACGTGCCTGACAATGATGAAGATCTTTTCTGCCTTGAAAACCAAGGAACCTACTTTTTCTGAGCTGATGTCCCTCTCTCTCCCTGGAATCCCTTCCCATTACACAACCTCACACAGCCAGAGTCAGACTTGAGCTTTGGAATTGTGTGGGGTTTTTATTGTTTGGGGTCTGATATCACATACGTCACTGGAGGGAGGTAACCAGCAGCTATGCAAATTTTTTTTAATAAGCAAAGGACAAGGTTTGGTAGCACATGTCGATAAAGGCCAGGGATTTGGAAGGCTGCCTAGGAGGATCTCAAGTCTGAGGCCACAGTTGGCCTATCAGCAAGACCCTGCCTCAAAATATTCAAAGTTCTGACATTGGGTGAGTCTTCATGAACAATAAAAGGTCAGAGTTCCTGTTTCAACAGTCTCCCCTTAGGATGCTGTGTGTATGTATGTGACTGTTACCTGCCAACAGGACCTAGAGCAGTTGCTGGTGTCCACCTGTATTAATAAATAGATCAAATGAAGTGAGTAAATAACTAAAGCAATAAAAGATCTGACACTGTAGCTGGTTGTGATCCCAGGGATATGGAGGTTAGGGAATCACCATTTTAGCCAGATATCCTGTGGAGCCAACCTAGATGCCCTTCAGTGGATGAATAGATAAAAAATATGCATTATATATACACAATAAAATTTTATTCAGCAATAACAGAATAAAATCATGTGTGTGGAGGAGATTATGGTCTTGTTATCTTGGTTTCTGACTTGTAGGGAATAGAGTTCTTCTGAGATTCTCACCAGTATCTTTCCCTTTGTCAAAGGGGTATTGCAACTTACTTCTGTTTCTTGCTGTCTAACTTTTGTGGTTT